GCTCAAGCGTCAGCTACGCGATAGGATAGCGAAATTGCGACGACTCTTTTCTTCTCATTCCATACTCAAACCCTAGGACTTCTAACTCACCTATACAACTTTCCACTTGATACTTTGACTTTAAAAAAATCTTTTTCAACGATAGTTTTGTCAAAAGATTGCCAACATCATTAAAACCTAACAAACTCCCCCTTTGACATTATGTGACAAAACATGTATTACAAATCAAATAGATTCAATCTAATCTACCCAAAAACCAACTGACTCGGTTGAATCTTGCTTTTTCCTTTGTCCAACCTATTTCTTGAAAAGCAACTCAAATAGCAAGTGTAAAAGCACGTGAGATAGTAGTAGGAATAAAAACATTTGAGACAATTATTCATAAATTCAACAACATACCACCTGAATTAAGATGCAATATCAATTTAAGCCAATACACCAGAACCAAACATCGATATCACTAAACATCAAAACTTAATCTAGCTAAAACGAAGAAAATATCATATATACTCGAAAAACGTCAAAAAATATATTTAACTCAAATATCATGTACATTCGGAAATTTTTTGCAAAATCAAATCACGCCATACTAACTGCTTACTCCCCCATTTTTGTCACAAATGAAAATGTAACAACAATATATAATAACTCAAAGAAACAGTTGATAGCATGCACAAGCATAATCAATGAATAGTAAACTTTTCTACATACTCAATTCAAGTCTAAATATGGTAAATTGTATAAGTGGCTCATGTGTGTTAAGTGCCACTGATCATTACGATCAAGACCCCAAACCTTATATTTGTAAGAAATGACATATTAAACATCGCTATTAAATAAGTTTATTCCTCTACTAATGAAGTCAAACCAATAATACATATTAGGACCTAAAACTAAAGCTCATTTTTTATGTATATTATTCTTTTATCCCCTTAACTTTGAGCATATATAAATTTTCACACAATTTATTTTTTTCTTTTTAAGCTTATTGTTTTTCTCTTCAATTTTTCACATCTTATGTGCAGATTCTTCTCTATTAAGCGACTAAGATGAACCCTGTAACGAGTTTTGGGCCGATAACTCCAAGTCAGTTGACCATAGGACATCAGGTTATGAGAAATCCCTTAGATTTCGAAGAAGAGTACAAGATAAAACATTTTATTTTATTTAAGGGGATATACTCAAGCTTAAGTCTACTAAACTAAGGTATTCAAGTTCACCTTACCAACAGATGACGATCATCCCAAATTCACACACGCGGTCCAGACTTACTCACAAGATCATAGTGTGTGCAGTGCAGATGGTACATGAAGAAATATATACTAATTACTCCACATAAACTTAAAAAAAGTAATGGAAAATATGTTACAGCACATCAATTAAACTCATACTTGTTCACAACATACATATTCAAATAAATTATATATCATGATGTAGTAAAGAATTTTCTCCCATTTTTTTATTTAAAAAACTCAAACTACCTAAAAAATAAAATTAAACAAGAGAGAGAGAGAGAGATGCGTGCAATAATGAATGAATTAATTAAAAAAATAAGCATGTATCAAAATTACCTAATCAATTAGGTATACAAACACTCTTACATTTAAAAGCCCCGAATCAATTTCAAAAATTTTCAAATCACTCTTTTTTACCAAAACATGTCTAGTGAAAGACTTATTTCGAGTCAACTGTGTCATTAATTTGGTCAAATGACTCTCTTGATTAGAGATGAAATCAATTCAACTATCAAAATCCTGATTTCTATCTCTAGTGAAATTCATATTTCTATTTCTATTCAGGAATTTATGATACATAGGCCTTGTGTACCCCAGTACACCACAACTGTGACATGTGGGAATAAACCTAGTTTCAAAACTACGTGATTGTTGATATTGATTTATAGGTCGATGGTCCTACGCTGTATAGTAGGCCTCGGTCCTAAGACACTCTTGCCTTGGGTTCAAGATTAGCAACATTCCTAAATTTTTTGGTGGCTGGGACAAATATGGTCTTTGATGCACTAACAGTTTTGTTATCAGTTTGAACATATCTTAGACCCTCCCAATTTCAAGTGGCTTGTTCATCCCTAACAAATTATCAAGTTTCTGAGAACCACTCAAGAAGATATGAAGTTGAATATTAGATTTTTCTAGGTGAATTGTTAAGGTTTTACCTTAGCTTCTAGGTTCTTATTGACAAGTCTCAACCCACTCAAATTTTTAGTAGAATCCTGAAAGTCAGCTATGAGTTTCTTCCTCTAAATCTCTAGTTCATTAACCTTCTTTACTAGATTTTATTGACCTTCTTTATCTTAAAACTCTCATCAAATAACTTTTGATAAGCCTCACGAATCTTATCCCCGTCTTCAAAATCTTCCTCAATTTGCTCACCACTATCTATTTCCTCAACCTTTTCACTGTTCTTATCAAATTCACATTTAATCCTAGCAGTGAAAGCTATAAACTTTCGACTCTCCTCATATCTATCTTACTTTGATTATCCGAGCTAGACTCATCATCAGTGACAGTTGCATTCATATTTTTACCCTAATTTTTCTTGTCTTTAAGGTACTCACTTCTATAGTGACCAAAACCTTGACACTTATGATATCTCACATATTTAGATCTCTTTCTAGACTCACTGGAATCATCTCTATGTCTTTCTTTAGTCTTCTTTTTTATTTCTAAACATTTTTTTGGAAATTCTTAAAAAGTAGGTTATTTCCTCTTCATTAAGTGATTCCAAATCAAATGAATCATACTTTTCTTCCCTAACAGGCTATAGACTTGTTCTTCTTAGGTTGAGATATGGTGAGTTCATAAGTTTGGAGAGATATAACCAATTCTTCTATCATTATAGTATCTAGATCATTACTATCCTCAATAGCCGTAACTTTAGGTCTAAATCTTTCAGGTAATGACCTTAGGATTTTTGTGACAATCTTAGACTCGGAAATTCTCTCACCTAGGTTAAAACAGGAGTTCACTATGTCATTCAGCTTCACATAGAATTCATCGAATGATTCATCAACTTCCATTTTAATTTCTTCAAACCTAGTGGTTAATATGTGCAACTTGGAGTTCTTAACGATTTTGGTTTCCTTGTGTGTGGTCTCTAAATAGTGGTTTCACACATCAACACTCTCCTAAACTCTTCAGCGGACACAGCCATAAACAGGGCATGAAGTCCTTTACTTCCAGTTGCACTCAGCTAGTTCATCTTTGGTTCAAAGAGACATGTCCGTGGTGGTAACTACACCTAAAATAGTAGAGGAATGGGCGATCCAATCATTTTGAACACTAACCCAAATTTGCTCATCTAAAGACTTGAGGAATAGTCTCATCCAAACCTTCCAATATGCATAATTGTTTCCGTAAAAAATGGAGGTACAGAAAAAGACTGACTCGTCTATATTAAATGTGGGTTAAGAATCGAAATGAGACTCTAATACCACCTGAAATAAAAAAGTTTGGCCCAACTAACACCTAGATGGAGGGTGAATAGGTGTTTATGTATAATTTAAATTTACCAATTAATAAATGCAACAAGTCACGCTTATTAATTAATCCAGATGAATCCACATGCACAACTATTTTATGTTGAATTACCGCAGTTAATATATTATTGAAAAATAAATAAAGCTTGAAAATTGTTGACGTAAAAAACTCGTAACTATGTAAAAACTCCGAACCCAAGCTTGTAAAAATCCACCATAAACGAATCAATTTACACCATCAGACTCGACTAACTCTTGTACTTTCTGACCTCCTGACTGTAATCACCAAAGCCCTTCTGGATTGCATGCTCCTGCACTAACTCTAGGCCTTTTGAATTCGTTTATCTCCTGTGGATCAATGAGAACTCCTCGTTCTCCAACTACCGAAACTCCGTTCACCTTCGTTGATCATCAGAACTCTGTCAGATATTATGAAAGTATGTGTTTTGGTTTTTGATTTATGTGAGTTGATATTTTTCAATATTATGAAGAAATCAAAAAGAATGTTGAACTATTAGAATGATATGTAGGAAGTAATCTTTTGTTTCTTTCAATGTTCAACACATCTTTTTTCGAATGGAGGCGATGATATATATAGTGTAGAGGTTTTGGGTAGTATGAGTCGGATGAAACCTTGAAAAATGCAAATTAGGTTTTCTCAAGATACACTATCGAACAGATCGATGGTGCGTCGCTCGAGAGAGGTCCAAGCGACAGGCGAGCAATGAGACTTCTATTTTTATCACTCGAGCATTTACTGGGTGATAGGTTAGGAAAATTGCGGTGACTCTTTTCTCCTCATTCGATACTCGAACCCTAGGACTTCTAACTCACCTATGCAACTTACTACTTGACACTTTGATTTTAAAAGCTCTTTTTCAACAATACTTTTGTCAAAAGATTGCCAACATATTTAAAACCTACTATTTTAAAATATTTTCGATTTTACTGTCACTGTCATTTTAAATTACTGTCACAATCGTTTTAATTTTGTTTTATTTTCATAATTTTTTTTCTTTTCTTTCATAAAATTGCATTTCGAAACGCACTTTTTTCTTCTCCTTGCATACTTTTGCATAGTCCGCATACTTTAATGATGAATTCACTGTGAACGATGACCAATTGTGTTTTAATTTTGTACAGTTGGAATATTTTTTAATTATTGTAGCGGTCTTTGTTAAATTATTCATTAATCACATAAGTTTTTTATCTTAGCAAATTAAACAAAGTTTAACAAACTCATTAGTTAAAAATTTTTAAGTACGAAGCCATTAATTGATAGTTATAAATTGATTCGATGCAAATTTATATAGAATATCCTTCAAGAGGACAAGGCTTACATTACATGGAAAATACTACATTTTTTAAAATCTTTATGATCAAGAAACCATACAAGTGAAACAATTCTCAACACTTATTCAGTTATTCATTTTTGTTCTTTATAGCACACGAGATATCTTTAAGAGGGCAAATAAATCATAATATTTCTTTTCTAACCGATGTTCTACCAGAATTGTCCTTGAAGATATTTAATCACATTCACAACAACTGGGAAAGCCTTGGTGAGAACATCAATATTAATGGGCGGGTTGGATCCAAAAACTGCATTTGCAATTGTGATGACTCCTGGGTTTCGACTGCTTAGACCAGCAAATACAACTGCATTAGTCTTCCCCACATTAAATTGGAAATGAATGAGACCTTCTGGAAACACAAAGACGTCTCCTGGATTCAAAGTCTTGGTAAAGAGTTTGTTCTTTACGTTTGGATTTGTAGGGTTCGAAGTAACAAATCCAACATAGAGAGTACCCTCTACAACAACAAGAACCTCATTAGCCTGAGGGTGGATGTGGGGTGGGTTCAGGCCATAAGGTGCATAGTCGATACGGACTAAAGAGATACCAAGAGTGATGAGTCCCGGTAGTTGGTTGACATTCACAGGAGTGACATTTGATCCTAGGGGATTTGATGTATGTTCAGTCCGTGAAAGAGAAAATCATCAGCACTTGTTCGCGTGAAACTCGAAAGCGTATTGGATCGTTGTACAAGTAATAAGATTTGTGAGTTAAGAGTATCATTCCCACGAGGAATAAGGTCTAATTTGTAGTTTAGTATCATTCCCACGAGGAATAAGGTATAATTTGTAGTTTAATAGCTACTATTAAATTCGAAGTGTGGTAGTATCAAAAAGAGATGATTTGTAAACAAATGAAGTATTTATTTATTATGTAAATGTTTGTATTGNATTAAATCTATGTTTAACACAACCCGATCCTATTCCTAGTCCGAATTCATATGAAAAATATGCATTGAATCACATGATTTATCACACATGATTGCACATACCATATATATTATTCCTAATACCTATTGTCCATGTGTTTATTTTGCCGCGTTCTAAACTTATTGTGAGTATTCCTACACTACAACAAGCAATTTACTATCTAATTGGTGATCAAACAATCAAATAGTTCAATGGGAATGCAAAACCAATCAAGAAAAATCAAGAAGTACTAAATTAATTGTCTCGAATTAAAACAAATAAGCAATATGGTTCATCATTCATCCAATACAGTGAAAAACTAGCTTAATATTCTTATAATTAAATTACACAAGAATAATTGGAAAAATATCACCCAAAAATAAGAAAGATGGAAGAAGTAGGAAAAATCCACGTTCTTGATGTGAATTTTGATGAAGAATCTTCAATATCCTATGCAATTAGCCTTGATTCCACGTTGTTAGTCATGTTCTTCGCCTCCAAAATATGTATAATATAGAGATTTTTAGGTCTAGGAAGCCTTTTCAATGTATTCTGTTGTTTTCTATTTGTAGGAGTCGAGAATTGATGGAAAATCACGTCCAAATTGGTTTCCAAAAGAGTTCTAATCGAATAAAGAAAGCTGCCTTCGCGAGCGGATTTTTCTATCTTTGCACAACAGTCCGTATTTTAGTCATAACTTTCTCTCTTGATATCCGATTGGGATGATTCAAATTGCATTGGAAAGATAACTCAAAGGTTCTAGAAATAGATGTTTTCCAATTTGGACGTTTACTATGCCACATAAGGGTCTCAATCTTCGGCTAAAATCTGGAATATATCTTGTGCGATTGGAAATTGACTTTGATAATATTTTGATCATATTCCATTCCTTTTTGAATTCTAATTCCATCCAATTTTCTCCTAACAATTTTCAAAGTATCTTCTTGAGGTCCGAATCAACAATTGAGTATTTACAATTTAATCCTCAAACTTTCGATTTTGCCATTTTTCGCTACACTTTGCTTCTTTTCTCCAATTATTCATCAAATATCCAGTTTTACCTACAAGATGCAATGTGACACAATTTAGGTCATATTTTGTCAAAAGAACAATAAAATTCTATAGTTTCAAGCCCCGAATAAATGTAGAAAATACATTTATCAGCACTAACCATGTTTAGATCCTTGCAAATCTTCCCATTCACAAAAACTGCAATAAAAACAGAAGTCACCGCAAAGCCATATATATGTATATACCAATATAATTTTGTACATAAAATGTAGTGAAAATTATCATAAAAATTACGAAGAAACTGAATGCAATAAAATTATATTATTCCCTAATGCAAGCTTGGTAGGAGATACAGTATTAAAAGAAAAAAGGAAGCTAAAATTTTGTTAATTCTATTTTTAAGCAGTATTGAGTAGTGGGCGTACCGCACACAAGATAAGGTTGCTATTCTGGAAGTGTAAAATGCGTTTACCTTTTGCTTCAGAATCCTTAACAGCAACACAAAAATTCTGCAGGGAAGTGGGATCAGAAGCATATGTAAATGAAACCAATGAGATAATAAAAACTAAAATTAGAAAGCAAACAACCATTTTTAATACAACCGATATTTTGTTTTTGTTGTTGTTTGTGGATGTTTATTTCGTGAGAGGGGATTGCCTATTTATTGTGCACCTTTCTATTTGAATTAGTCATCAACTCATCTTTTCAAGCAAATAATCTTGCCAAGTCTTCAAAACATAATTAAATATATATTTTCCAGATCAGATCTTTTCAAACAACTAACACCGTAAAATATTCTTGAAGTGTTCTCATTTAGTAATTAGTATTGGATCATGATGTGTTTGCCTATTTTAGTTAACTTATTTTAGGATGTATATATTCTGTTATTTGCATTCTATTCAGAATTATTGTTGTACCATAATTAGTGTAGCCTATTATAGTATCATTAGAATTTTACTATCATCAGAAAACCTAAAACTAGGGTTTGCCGTGCACATCTGTATGTATATATCAGTACTCTTCTCCTTCATGAATGGAATGAAAAATTTAGCCAACTATTCTTGAGTGTCTTTATGGTATCAGAGCTATACGCTTAACCAGCTCCGATCGTGGCCTCAATGGAATCATCTAACACAGACTCCACCAACCAAATGCCCAGCAACACCAACCCACCACCTCCACCCTCTCCTACCGTCCCAAACCCTCCCATTGTTATAAATGCTCAAGCTCAACTACCCATCAAACTTACCCCAACAAATTTTCCAGCATGGCATATCCAATTCCACAGTCTCTTTGTTGGCTTTGATCTTCTGGGATTCGTCGACGAAACTTTTCCCTGTCCAGCGCAATTCTTGAACACACAGAACACAGCTACAACTCTCAACCCAGAACACGCACTTTGGATTCGGCAGGACAAGCTCCTTCTCAATGCCATAGTTAGCTCTCTCTCTCCAAATTATTGCAGCAGCCCGAACATCACGTGAAGCATGGGTTACAATCAACAACACTTACGCTCGACCCTCACGTGGGCGTATTATGCACCTAAAAAATGCTCTCGGCAATCTACAAAAGGGTGATGCCACTATAACAGAATATATGTATGGGGTTAAAAGTATTGTTGACAATCTGACCCTCATGAATTCTTCACCCAATCCAGATGAATTGGTCCTTCATATTCTTCGTGGTCTTGGCTCCGAATACAATGGATTGGCAGAAGCTGTTCGTGCTCGTGATACATCAATCACCTTTGATGAGTTGCATGAAAAACTTGTTACCAGGGAATCTCAGCTCCAACCCCAATCCTCTGTCTCCTCTTCTCCCTTCCAACCAGTCACGGCCAATCTAGTCTCTCAACATCCCTTCACCACACAGTCAAATCATCCCCCTTCCAGTGGATCTCGAACCAACTACACTCCTCAGAACCGTCCCTTCTCACACAATTCCCAGCCTCGTCGCAACAGCAACACAAATTTTACGCCTTGACCTTATCTTGGCAAGTGCCAACTATGTGGGGAATCTGGTCATTCTTCTAAACATTGTTCTACCTATCGTTATTCACCAGTCCTCGCACACCCAAGTCCTACCCAACAGCCACGACAATACCAAGCAAATCTGGCCACCCAGTTTACTGCTCCGCCTTCTCAAGATTGGCTTCTCGACTCTGGCGCCTCTCATCATATAACCAACGATCTTGACAATCTCGCACTCTACTCCACCTATTCTGGACCCGACGATGTTCACATTGGTGACGGTAACAGTTTGCACATTACGCACACGGGTCACACTCACATTCAATCTCATAACTCTAAATTTATTCTCTCTAATATTCTCTATGTTCCCCGAATAGCTCGCAATTTAATTTCTGTCTCGCAATTCTGCTCACAAAACAATGCCAGCATTGAATTCTTACCACATTCATTTATTGTGAAAAACTTGCAGACCGGAACTCCAATCCTGCGCGGACCAGTTAAAGATGGTGTGTACGCACTTCCATTCAATTTATCTGCACCAGTAACCACCTACTCTACCATCTCCACCAACCTTGACACTTGGCATCTTCGCTTAGGACATCCCAGCCCCAAAATCTTACGTCATTGCAAATTTTTATCTTTGTCATCGTCCAAACGTTCGTTATCTAATTGTAATTCATGCGACTGCAATAAAAGTCATAAATTACCATTTTCCAACTCTACTATATCCAGTTCTGCTGCATTATAGATTATTTTCTCTGACTTATGGACATCTCCCATCGTCTCCACCGAAGGCTACAAATACTATGTTGTGTTTATTGATCATTACACTAAATACGTATGGCGCTATCCATTAAAGAAAAAATCAGATGTTTGTGATACCTTTATTCGTTTCCGTGGCCTTGTCGAAAATTTTTTTAATGCCACCATTACCACGTTATTCACGGACAATGGTGGTGAATATATTGCACTCACCTTACCTTTCGGCAAATGGTATCACTCATCTCACCACTCCTCCTCATACACCAGAACACAATGGTTATGCCGAACGACACATCGCCTTTAGGGATGGTAAAAAAACCCGACAAACCCGATACCCGCGGGGACCCGCCCCGAACGGGGAGAGGAAAACCCGCTTAAACGGGTAACGGGGCGGGGATGGGGCGGGGGATTATTCCCCGAGGCGGGGGCGGGTAACGGGGTGG